CTTCGTTGACCGTGAGAGCTTGTCATGGGCTAAGTTGGGACACCCCTGCAGGGTTTTGAACTTTCAAAAGTCGTGCCCGCGGTTATGGGCAGATGGGAATTTGTTAATGTCTGGTTGTAGAAAACCTGAAGTTGACCTTAATTAAAATGCATCAACCGCGTGTGTAACCGTGATGGTCTCTTTTCGGCGGAGTCCGGGAAGTGAACATGGTGTTGGAGTTATGCTTGACGTAGGTTGTTCTAGGATCACTTCTTGATCATAGTTTCTCGACCGTGCTTTGCCTTCTCTTCTCGCTCTCATTTGCGTATGTTAGCCACCATATATGCTAGTCGCTTGCTGCAGCTCCACCTTATACCTTTTACCTTACCCATAAGCTTAAATAGTCTTGATCGCGAGGGTGTGAGATTGCTGAGTCCCCGTGGCTCACAGATACTTCCAAAACCAGCTTGCAGGTGCCGATGAGTCCATGCAGATGATGCAACCAAGCTCAGGAGGAGCTCGATGAAGACTTTGTCCGTTGTGTTGTTTCATTCTAGTTGATCAGTAGTGGAGCCCAGTTGGGGTCGATCGGGGACCTTGTCGCATTTGGGGTTCTTCTTTTATTTTGGTTCCGTAGTCGGACCTTGATTGTATTTGGATGATGTAATGCTTTATTCATGTATTGTGTGAGGTGGCGATTGTAAGCCAACTATGTATCTCTTTCCCTTATGTGTTACATGGGTTGTGTGAAGATTACCTCACTTGCGACATTGCTTTCAATGCGGTTATGCCTCTAAGTCGTGCTTCGACACGTGGGAGATATAGCCGCATCGAGGGCGTTACACATACCTTGATAAAGTTTTGAAGAAGTTCAAAATGGACCAGTCAAAGAAAGGGTTCGTGCCTATGTTGCAAGGTGTGAAGTTGAGTCAGACTCAATGCCCGACCACTGCAGAGGATAGAGAGAAAATGAAAGTCATTCCCTATGCCTCAGCCATAGGTTCTATCATGTATACAATGTTGTGTACCAGACCTGATGTGTGCCTTGCTATTAGTTTAGCAGGGAGGTACCAAAGTAATTCAGGAGTGGGTCACTGGACAGCGGTCAAGAGCATCCTGAAATACCTGAAAAGGACTAAGGATATGTTTCTCGTTTATGGAGGTGACAAAGAGCTCATCGTAAACGGTTACGTTGATGCAAGCTTTGACACTGATCCGGATGACTCTAAGTCACAAACTAGATACATATTTATATTGAATGGTGGAGCTATCAGTTGGTGCAGTTCCAAGTAGAGCGTTGTGGCGGGATCTACGTGTGAAGCGGAGTACATAGCTGCTTCGGAAGCAGCAAATGAAGGAGTCTGGATGAAGTAGTTCATATCCGATCTAGGTGTAATACCTAGTGCATCAGGTCCAATGAAAATCTTTTGTGACAATATTGGAGAAATTTTCTTGGCGAAGGAATCCAGATTTCACAAGAGAACGAAACACGTCAAGAGACGCTTCAATTCCATCCGCGATCAAGTCAAGGAGGGAGACATAGAGATTTGCAAGATACATACGGATTTGAATGTTGCAGACCCGTTGACTAAGCCTGCCTCACAAGAAAAACATGATCAACACCAAGACTCCATCGGTGTTAGAATCATTACCATGTAATCTAGATTATTGACTCCAGTGCAAGTGGGAGACTGAAGGAAATATGCCCTAGAGGCAATAATAAAGTTGTTATTTATACTTCCTTATATCATGATAAATGTTTATTATTCATGCTAGAATTGTATTAATCGGAAACTTAGTACATGTGTGAATACATAGAGAAACAAAGTGTCCCTAGTATGCCTCTTGTAGACTAGCTCATTAATCAAAGATGGTCAAGTTTCCTGACCACAGACATGTGTTGTCATTTGATGAACGGGATCACATCATTAGAGAATGATGTGATGGACAAGACCCATCTGTTAGCTTAGCATAATGATCATTTAGTTTTATTGCTATTGCTTTCATCATGACTTATACATGTTCCTCTGACTATGAGATTATGCAATTCCCAAATACCAGAGGAACACCTTGTGTGCTATCAAACATCACAACATAACTGCGTGATTATAAAGATGCTCTATAGATATCTCCGATGGTATTTGATTGAGTTGGCATAGATCGAGATTAGGATTTGTCACTCCGTGTATCGCAGAGGTATCTCTGGGCCCTCTCGGTAATGCACATCACTATGAGCCTTGCAAGCAATGTGTCTAAAGATTTAGTCACGGGATGATGCATTATGGAATGAGTAAAGAGACTTGCCGGTAACGAGATTGAAATAGGTATGATGATACCGACGATCGAATCTCGAGTAAGTAACATACCGATGATAAAGGGAACAACGTATGTTGTTATGCGGTTTGACCGATAAAGATCTTCGTAGAATATGTAGGAGCCAATATGAGCATCCAGGTTCCGCTATTGGTTATTGATCGGAGATGTGTCTCGGTCATGTCTACATAGTTCTCGAACCCATAGGGTCCGCACGCTTAATGTTCAATGACGATTTGTATTATGAGTTATGTGATTTGATGAACTGAAATTTGTCCGAAGTCCCGGATGAGATCACGGACATGGCGAGGAGTCTCGAAATGGTCGAGACATAAAGATTGATATATTGAAAGGTTATGTTTGGACACCGGAATGATTTCGGAAAGGTTCGGGCATTTTCTGGAGTACTAGGAGTTACCGGACCCCCACCCCCCGGGAGTTAATGGGCCTTCATGGGCCCTAGTGGAGAGAGGAGGCGTCGGCCAGGTGGTGGCGCGCCCCCCCAAGCCCGAACCGAATTGGACTAGGGTTGGGGGGGCAGCCCCCTTTCCTTCTCTCCTCTTCCTCGTTCCCTCCTTCTCTTAGTGGGAATAGGAAAGGGGGGCCGAATCCTACTTGGACCGGAGTCCAAGTAGGACTCCCCCCCTTGGCACGCCCCCTCTAGGGCGGCCTCCTCTTCCCCCCTCCTTTATATACGTGGGAGGGGGGCACCCCAAAGGCACACCAAGTCTTCTCTTAGTCGTGTGCGGTGCCCTCCTCCACAGTTACACGCCTCGGTCATATCGTCGTAGTGCTTAGGCGAAGCCCTGCACCGGTAACTTCATCATCACCATCGCCACGCCATTGTGCTGACAGAACTCTCCCTCGTCCTCAACTGGATCAAGAGATCGAGGGACGTCATCAAGCTAAACGTGTGCTGAACGCGGAGGTGCCGTACGTTCAGTGCTTGGGCCGGTTGGATCGCGAAGATGTTCGACTACATCAACCGTGTTACTGAACGCTTCCGCTTTCGGTCTACGAGGGTACGTGGACACACTCTCCCCACTCGTTGCTATACTTCTCCTAGATAGATTTTGCTTGATCGTAGAATTTTTTTTGAAATACTACGTTCCCCAACAAATCCACATTCATAGGTCTCCTTCGTAGCTTTTCCAATTCTTTTTAAGTTTTTTAATTCTCTGTTTCGGTCCTCTCAAAGTCTCCCTGTCCTAATTATGCAAATCTGCCTGTACCGCTCGAGTACGATCAGCGAGGCTTGGCCCAATACCCATTTTTTTTTTGCCTTTTCCCATGTTGTACGGATAGTTTCTATAATCATCTCCTCTTTGAGCCATCGTGCTTCAAACTGTCTCACTAGTCCCCTTGGGCTATTAAAAATATTGCTGTCATAATACTCTATATCCAGGACGAGTGGGCGATGATCGGAATGAACATGTTCCTCGTTAATAATTGCAGCCTGAGGGAATTTATTCGCTCATTCCACATTGCACACCGCATGGTCAAGCCTCTCCCTAGTATCGCCTCTCCTCCAAGTGAAAGGATCACCAATGCATCCCATATCTTCAAGACCGCACTCCGCTAGACAATTACGAAAATCTCTCATCATAGCATTCGGTCTCGCATTACCACCCTCCTTTTTTGATGAGAGTAAAATTTCATTGAAATCCCCTAGTATCACCCAGGGGTGATTTCCCATATTATGTAAATTTCGAATATTGTCCCAAGATAACTTGCGCTCTCTCCAAACCGGGTGGCCATAAAAACCCGTAAACTGCCAATATACATTATCATCATCATTCATAAAAATAATATCAATAAAATGAGACGACACATAGTTCAAAACAACTTTATTCAACTTATTATAAAACAAGACTAGGCCACCATCCCGACCATCACTCTCCACTACAATCATCAACTCAAAAGATAGAAAACGACGCAGCTCATCGGCCTTACATTTATTCAAGTGTGATTCAGAGAGAAAAATCAAGTCTTCTTTGATCCGCCCTTAGAGTTCCAAGAGTTCACGAACTGTCGTGGGGGAGAGCATACCACGACAGTTCCATCCTAGGATCCTCATTTGGCCCGGTGGCCCCCCTCCTCGGAGGCCGCCTATGCGCCATCATCTCCAACCGACTCCCTCCTCTGCTGTATGTAAGCATCTTCCTCCTCTTTCTCGTTCGCTACATGTGTAATAACCCCATCCCCATCCTTCCTAGTTTCAACTCTACCCATACAAATTCTCTTAGAGGAAACACTCATCTCACCATACAACATACGTTCTAGTTTTCCATCTCTCTCTCAAAAGAAAAGTTTAAATCACTACCCGTTGGTGTCAAGATAGACTAAATTACCAACATTTAGACCCGAACGCATCTAGGTGACGCTCGCTGTCATCTTAGTCAGCGTTAATGCGATGTTTGACACCAGATATTTAACCTTGTACTGACGCCACGGCCCCTACCACTCCTTGAAAATGAAATGGCGAGCCGTCGTTAGCCCGCCACGCAGACACGCACACACACGCACGGCCTCGTCTTAATCTCGAGATTAAACCGGAAAGCAAACTCTAATAAATCCTCCACCCCCGGATCGACAGCCTCTGCATCGGCAGGCAGCAGCAAAACAACAGCCCAATCGAGGGTCACTCCACACCACCACCACTCTCTTCCCCCAATCCCCCGCTCCTCCTCCCCGAAACCCTAGCTGGAATGGAGGCCAAATCCACCACCCCTCCGCCGCCGGGCCCCGTGCTGGGCGCGCCCGTCGGCTACCCGCCGGCCGCCGTCTACCCGGCCGCCCCGCCCCCCGGCTACCCGCACGCGCCGGCCCTCTACGCGCCCCAGCCGCCCCCCGCCGCCGTCGCCGCCGCGTCGCAGCAGACCGCCGCGCAGCAGCAGCAGCAGCTGCAGGTGTTCTGGGCGGAGCAGTACCGCGAGATCGAGGCCACCACCGACTTCAAGAACCACAACCTGCCCCTCGCCCGCATCAAGAAGATCATGAAGGCCGACGAGGACGTCCGCATGATCGCCGCCGAGGCGCCCGTCGTCTTCGCCCGGGCCTGCGAGATGTTCATCCTCGAGCTCACCCACCGCGGCTGGGCGCACGCCGAGGAGAACAAGCGCCGCACGCTGCAGAAGTCCGACATCGCCGCCGCCATCGCCCGCACCGAGGTCTTCGACTTCCTGGTGGACATCGTGCCGCGGGACGAGGCCAAGGACGCCGAGGCGGCCGTCGCCGCCGGGATGCCCCACCCCGCCGCCGGCATGCCCGCCGCCGACATGGGGTACTACTACGTCCCGCAGCAGTAACGCCTGCAGTATGTTACAGCGGACTTAAGTTGCATCTAAGATTGTGCTGTTGATTTAGTGCTCTCCTATGTTTGTTTGTTCACCGCTGAATAATTAAGATGTTGTCATCATTTGAGGGGCCTCCTCTATGTTATAAGTGATTCGATCCAAGAAGAATCGGTGTAGGTTCTTCTGATCGAGGCAGGCCGTATGATGCTCATGCATGTCTAACTGATAAGATAATTTATCTCGTGGCATTTCTCTGATTACTTTTGTTCATCGTAATTTGCAGTGAAATGGTTTGATTGATGTATAATCCATGTAACTATTACCCTGTTGTATTTTAGGCATTTAGGTTGCACAATCAAATATTACAACAACTATGGGCCAAGTGTTCGTATAACTTCTAGCTTTTATGTGCATGTTTAATTGGTACAACCTTTGCTATATATTCAGATAATTCAGATACATGCTTCTTTGGTAAGTGGATACTACCAAGGGCGTAACACCGTTCCCTGTATGATGTAAAATTTAGTCATGCATATGTGACTGTCTCTGATGTCATATGGCCGTAGGGACTGAAATTGAAGTTTTGATAGTTAATGTGATTCTTGTTGTTATTTGCAAAACCAGTAACACATCATAGGAATGGGGAATTTGCAATGCAAACTCCTGACATTTTCTTTGGTTTAACAATATATACATTCCTTTATTCTCTTTGAGGTCCTAATTCCTCAAGGCACTTTGGTTAAAGATGGATTAGTTATGAGTAACTTTTTTAAAACTAGAAAAATATAATGTTTTAGATACCAAATAGCTTTGCGTGTTCATTCTCTTATACTACTCCTTTCGTTTCTAAATATAAGTCTTTTTAGAGTTTTCAATACGAATTACATACGGATGTATAGAGTATAGACATATTTTGAAGTGTAGATTCACTCATTTTGCTCTGTATGTAGTCTATATTGGAATCTCTAAAAAGACTTATATTTAGGAATGGAGGGAGTATTATGTTGGGCTCAGTATGGTATCCAGCGACTGTGAATTGGACTACTTGTGCTGCAGCCTGCAGCGACATTTAAGTTAACTGCCCAGTTAACTACTACTCGGCACTTGACCAAATCAAATACCCCCTTTGTGGCCAATTAACTGGGCCAGTCGATTAATCGATCTGGCAGCTGATTAAAGGCTGAAATTTCAGATGGACCGATTAACTGGCAGAGGAAGATGTGTATGTTGTTGTGATGCTACTGGTTGGCTATCTGCATTGCTGCTATGTCCTCTCCTCTGTGTAGACTACTACCACTGCAAGTGTTGCATCTCTGAAAATAAATTCGGATGATATGGGGTGGCCTAGGGTATATAAGATATCAAGATATGCACTCCTTCTGATCCATAATAATATAGAGAATGAACAACTAATGTTGATTGAAGGGAGTAGCAAACTTTGGGAAATGATTGTTTGCCAAAGACAATTTTGCTGTGCATCAGATTTGTTCTGTTGTGGAGTTATTGAAGCTTGCTTGCTTTTGCTCGGAAAATATATGCTAAAATCAGAATTTTGAAGTTGGATTGCAGGGGGGATTGTGTGTCACGGATTTCTTTACCAAATGGCTCTTTCAGTCTTTGCTTTAGAAAACTGATTACATTTGCAGATGTCATGTTTTGTACAGAGATTCAATCTACTTCATATGCCTGAAGAAGGATAGCATCAATCTGACTATTTGTTTAGTGCTTCATATGCCTGAACCAAAGGATTGCATCAACCTGACTATATTTTCTTTAAGTTTGACATGCATAAATGGAAACGACCTTTTTTTCTTTTCGGGTGTTAAAAACAACAGTTGAAGAACTGAAGAAGTAAAAGAGCCCCAACAGTGGACAAACTTTTCATACTAGCCGTGAAGTCAGAATGGCCAAATTAGCATTTCACTCTGCGTTGCAGCTAATACTGATGAATCATTCAAAGAAGCTTCGAACTGTTACAAAGAGTCACAAGCTTTAAACCCTTTCAACATCTCTGGGGAGAGAAAATTAATGTGGATTATCTCTAATCATCAAGCAGAGAAACAGTGATCTGCACGATGCAAACAAGACTTATGTTCTTGTTTCGTCCGAATCAGCTCACCACGAAGCTTTGTAACCTTGAAATTAGGAAAGCAGAATTTGTCAAGGATCAAGAACAACGTTTTAGGCACCGAGCATTTCAATCATCAAAAATCTTTGTATGCACTCCCTTGCCACTCTGGGTGGTCTGATGTTAGAAGTTAGAACAACAATCCGGTTTGGTATAGATTGTGAAGAAATTGGTGAAGATTATGGTGAAGATTATGTTGAAACCATGTTTAAAAGTTCAACAAAATTGTACCCGAAAAAATACAGATGCTAGGAGGGTGATGTTCTAGAAGTATGCAAAATTTCAAGGTTCGGTCCTAAATCATTCTGTAGATATGTGAAAATATAAATTCATCAATAATATAAACGTTTTCTGTGTGATTTTTGCGCAGTTTTCACAGGTTTCCACTCCAAGTTGGTTTCCCCACAATATTTTCTCTAGATAGTCTGCGATGACTCCTAGGATTCCAGTAACGGTGTGCAGGCTAGAATCAGCACACCAAGAAAAAGCCTACAAATGCATATAATAGTGTAATGACGCAATCACGGTGACAATAAGCTTCGACAACAGAACAACCACAACGAGTGCACAGATCATCCAACATATTCTTTCATAGTTTTGTAATCATCAAAACAACAGGTTTGCAGGGAGAATTGGGTTGTCCCTTGCCGGTTCAACCATAACAATGTATAAATCCGTAGTTCCGTAGTTGAAGAGCACATGGAGACTTTCAACCATACAATGTACTCCCTCTGTAAATTAATATAAAAACGTTTAGATCACTATAAGCTGCTATGAATGGGTCATACAAATAAGCTTTGAATCGTTACAAAGAGTACATCTGGGGGCGGAGAAAAAAATGTTGGAAATTCTCTGATCATCGGAGCACAAGCAGTGTTCTGTCTATGCAAATAACACCATGAAGCCTGCGGCCCTAGAAGCACATCGTTTCCTCCGAATCAATTCACCAGGAAGCCTACGACCCTAGAATTAGAGAAGCATTATTTTGTTGTAGATCAGAACAAATTTCAAGCGCCGAAAATTTCAGTCATAACAAATCTGCTGGCGTGGGGATTAGTCATGAATTTTCAGAAGATCTGATCCACAGGGAGTAAACAGGAGGGTTTTTTTTTTTTTTTGCGGGTCACACAGGAGGTAAATTCAACTCACTGAAAACTCGAATCGGCTGTGTCCTAGGCGCACAGGATGAGCTTGCCGGAGGGCAAGGCTACGGCGGCGACGGCGAGGAGGCAGGCGGTGACGACGTTCCGGTAGCACCACCGGAGCGGGCCCCACGCCCCCGCGCCCTCGACGCTGGCGCAGTTGGTCCTCGTCACCCCGCACTGCGGCTCCTTGGACAGGTCGAAGGACGCGCCCTTCATGCGCAGCTCCTGCACGCACCGCGCGAGGGCCCGGGCGTCGCCGCGCTCCCGCCGCAGCCGCCGCGCGGCGCGCCAGTAGGCGCAGACGCGGAGCTGCACGGCCGCGGCGAGCGCGAGGGAGGCGGCCAGCGAGAGGGACGAGGGCGCCCACCACCTCCTGCAGGCGCGCGACGGGGCGCCGCCCGCGACGGAGGCGGCGAAGAGGAGCGCGAGGGAGAGGCCGTGGAGGGCGAGGAAGGCCGCGCAGAGGTAGAAGGCGTCCCGCCGCGCCGCGTCCATGACCGCCTCGAGCGCGCACGCGCGGCGGTTCAGGCGGGACTCCTCCCGCTGCCACAGCTTGAGCAGCAGCAGGTGGCCCCCGCTGTCGGCGATCTCGCCCAGCGGGTGGTGCCCCGACGCCGCCATGCCGGGGAACGCGCCGCTGGCTGGCTCCGCTCCGTCGCCGGTGACCGGGATCTCCACGACGTGGGCGTCGTTTTTGGTGGGCTCCGCCGCCATTGGAAGTTGCGTTCTGAATTGGAAGGTTT